GGGGGAGGGAGAGGGAGAGGGCGGGAGGGAGGGAGGGAGAGAGAGAAAGGAGTAGTCCCAGATTTTGTGTGTAAACTGCCCAAATGTCCGGCTGACTCTGGAGAGTGTGTATAGCCGCGGGACAGACGCCAAGAGGTCTGTCTAAGGCTGTAGGAGCTGAGCAGAGATTGGAGCTGCAGTCTGTCCGTGTGGTGGGAGCCAGGCAGGGCGGGAGACGTTGCATTGGATTACAGCCAAATTATGTCACTGTTAAGCCAGCAAAGATATCAATACTGTTTAGATTATCCTGGAATCCAGAGTTTAAGGCATATTTACACTGTCCAGAGTACAAGTCAAAATTACCTGACGAGTGAAGAAGTTCACCCCTTCTCAAGAGAGAAGGAAAACCAGTGAACATGCACCCCAAAGTGACCCAAATGTTGGAATCAAGGACTTCTGTTTCTTTTTCCAAGAAATGAAGTTCTTTTTCCTTTCAGCAGTGATTATAGCCATGGATGAAAAAAAAAAAAGACATAAAAAGTGTAAAAGAAAATATGCTTACAAAAATATAAAAAATTTTAGAATAATCAAATGGAAATTACCAATATGAAAAGGATAATGTGAATTTTTAAAAGTTACTGGATGGAATTAACAGCAAAATGGAAAAGGGAGGAGAAAGATAACTTATGGTGAAACAATGGACATTATTCAATTTGAAGAACAGAGAGAAAGTGCTTTGAAAAACAAACCTCAATGATCTGTTGGACGATGTTAAAAGATTTCACTTATACATATATGGAATCCTTGAAGGAACACAGATAATGGAGTGGAAAATTATTTGAAGGAATATTTACTAAAAACTCCTCAATTTCCTTGGAAGGAATACAGATTGGAGGAGCTCAGCAAACGTAAGCAGGGTAAATTCAAGAAAATCTCACCAAGGCACACAATAGACAAACTGTTGAAAATGAAAATAAGGGGGCTGTCATGATAGCAGCCAAGATCAGAGCAACAGTTTCCACACAGGAGAACATTTCTCCGCGAACAGCACTGGGGAAGGAGTCACAGGGGATCTGGGTAGAACCTTACTGTTTTGTAGCTGTTTATATCCTTATTCTTTGTAACTTCCAATGTGTCTGAGCCCACTAGGCTGATCGTGAGATTGCTGATATTTGTCTGTCTTTACAAAAATGACCTTTGCATATGGCGGGAGTTAGTGTTGATGATGACGATATAATAAAGAACGGAGAGGGGCTCCCTTTCTGCGGTGTGACTGGTTATTTAATGCCTACAGTTGAGCCCTTCCTCTCCCGTCATCTGGCTCTGGCAGGGTGGCACAGGGAACCACACTTCGGGAAACACTGATTCAGTGCAAACTGTCACGGTTCCATCACAAATCAAGACCTGGGTCTTGATTCACAGTGCCCTAAGGACCTTGAGGATGACAGACATATGGTCTGAGACTGAAAGTGGGGAGGAAGAGGCACTGAGGGATCCACTGAGAGGAAGCAGTGCAGCCGCTGTCACTCTGGCCCCAGCGCAAGGCTTTCAGGGCTCAGGGGCTCCCGGAGGTCACCTCCCTGTTGAGACAGGGATAATGGCCTCTTCTGCAGCTCCTGCCCTCTGGCTCGGAGATCAGTGTGGGGGGTGCGATGCTGTAATAGCACAGTCCTGAGTGAGCTCAGTGGGGAGCTGGACGCTTTCTGCTCTTCCAAACCAGGCAGGCACAAGTCATCCCACGGTACAGCCGTGGCCCCGAGGTGTGGTCACAGGACCTGGGCAGGACCTGGGAGGAACTCGGGCCGTGGGTTTGGAAAAGGACGAGAGGGTCTAGCACACAGCACCTGCCAGAGTGGCTGCTTCTTCCAGAGAGGAGCAGGAGCCCACTCCCTGGGCCGACAGGCACAGCGGGCCTTGTTCTGTGGCTGCCGTGTGTCCGCCCACGGCCCAGGGCAATGGGCGGTGGTGTCTCCGCCTGAGTCACCTTGGCCACTGCTCAGGCACAGGAATGGCCGCCTCAGCTTCTCGGGTTTTCCCTGTGGCACAGGAAGCTCACTCCTGGCTGGTGACTCTGGAGGCCGTGGGGAGGCTGTGAGGACTTGTAGATTCTCTGCAGATGATGCCATAACCTGCCGTGGCTCACGTGAGCCGGCAGGAGACTGAGGAGACCTGGCCCTGTGGGGTGCCAGAGTCAGGTCTGTCTCTGCCCTCTCGCCCTCTGCACTGTCACGGTCACCAGCATCGCCTCTCTGCCAGCATCCTTACCACTAATTCCTCAGTCACCATCACTTCCACCACCTCTTCCAGTCACCTCCGCCCTACCGCCGCTGGCCTCTCCACCTGCCCCACTCCGCCATCCTCACCACCCACCCTTCACGGTGGCTTGATCACGGTGGGCCCCAGCCCCTACTGCCAGCACCAAGCCCGTCTACAAAGGCCTGCGTGGTGGTGACCCTTGTCATCCTTGTGATGCATGGAACATGGAGGGGATTTGGAACCCAGACCGTGCCGTGTCTCTGCGATGCCTCTTGACACTCTTCGCAGGGGGCTGTGGGGACTGCTGGTTGACGCGGCACTTGACCCATTATCGGACTACCACATGTTTCTCCCTGGGTGCGGAGAGGATCAACCGGTTCTCTACAAGGGCTTAACACTTCGAAAAGGAGTTTGGGAATTACAGGACCCTGAGGCTCAGAGACAGCGATCATCCTGCTGAAGGTCACACAGCTAGTAACTGCCAGGGCTTAAGGACAGCATTGTCAAGCTACATGGGATCCTGTCCTTAGCCTCAGCTGTGGGCACAGAGCTGGGCGATGCAAGTCCTTTGCGAGCTATCAAGGCTGTGGCAGCTGGCAGATGTGTCACTTAGCTCTCTGACAGCACTGCCGCAGGCCAGGGCGCCCGAAGGTTCTTCCTCGGCTTGCAAACCGATGCCAGGTGTTTCCCAGGCAGCCACGGGCAGTGGAGAGATGGCAGTGGAGCCCGGCTCATGGTGTCCAGGTGATGCAGGACGTCCTATGAGCCACCGTGTCCCTGGTCTCCCATTGTGCATGGCTGAGCCTTCCTAGAGTTGGACAGAACCTGAGGTTCAACCAGTAGATACTTCCCTTGCCTCTCTTTTCGCAGGGGCCGGGTCTCCCTGCTCTCCTCCATTCCTGTTCCCCCTTTGCCTTGTAGAGCCAAGGACCCCTGAGCCTATCTTGTATGCTTCCTGGGGGAAGGAAACAAAAGGACAATGAGACTGTTAGCCTGCCTGGCCTTGAGCCCATGCTTTGTGTCGCTGAGGGGTAAAATGGTTCCTTCAAAATGAGGAGTATTTTTGCTTTTAGAGAGAGACTGCCTCTGCAACTTCTTCCTCCTGAGAGTAAACAGCCACCTCCTCCTCTCCTCAGCTCAGATGAACGCACAGAAAATTAACACCTGTGTCATAAACACCAGCATAGCCCAGCTGAAAAGGATATGGCCAAGGTCCAGTTTCCTTCCTGAGAATGACTGCAGGGGTAAAAGGAGCATGGGAATTTCCCTGTCTACCTTACTGCGTTCCTCCTTCTCCCTTGTCAT